CAGGATCCACTTCAACCATGGTGTCTCACATCCCAGGATCCATGAGAACCAATGATGTCATCATCTTCCAGGATCTACTCCAACCATGTGTCATCTTCCAGGATCCCTAAGAGCCAATGGGTCATTTCCTTCCAGGATCCATGAGAAGCAGTGGTGTCATCATTTCCTGGAATCCACTTCAACCATGGTGTCATCACATCCCAGGATCCATGAGAGTCAATGATGTCATCACATCTCAGGATCCACTCCAACCATGGTGTCATCATCTCCCAGGATCCATGAGAGCCAGTGATGTCATCATCTCCAGGGATCCATGAGAGTCAATGACATCATCCCTTTCCAGGATGCACCCCAACCATGTATCATCCTCTTCCATGACCAAGCACTACTACAGCTGTCTTTCCGTTGTTTTCTGGGGTCACATGGTACCTACAGTTGTTCCCTTAAGGGGAACCAGCACAACACACCATTTTCCCCAGCCCCTCAAAGTGGAGTAGGGTGGGAACAGCTAGCTCCTCCTCTGATGAGCTCTTCCCTACTCTAGCCCTTTTTGACGATGTCACTGCCTCACACCTGACTTAGAGTGATACCTGGATCACCCCCACCATTGAATTGGCCTTGGTCAACCTCCCAGCACCCCCTTGGTGGGGGGCTTCCAGGCCCCTCCTGCTAACATCACTGCCCCTCACCCAACCATCTGATCGGTGACAGGGTCAATGCAGTGACCTCCTATCACCACCAGAGGTGGGGCTGTCCATCCTGCAATGGCATCACTGCCCCTTGCCTAGCTCCTGTCACCTGGACCCACTGGCTTGGGCCAAACTCTCCTCAGAGATTCCTGACCCATGTAGGATGGGCTGTCAACTGATGGCCTCCTTGGGCCTTCATCACTGTCTGTGGGCATGGTTCTGGGACAAGTGTACCCTGGAGTAACAGTCACTACCAGAGCCATCTGCAGGGGGGTATCTGCATCGTCCAGAGATGGTGAAGTGGCCCCTTCTTCATCTCTCTCCCTACCACTTCCAGGAGCCTCTAGGGGCTTGGGGGAATCCCCAATTCCCACTGCACAATTGGCCCCCAATCTTTGTACATAGCCATGTTGTGAGGGCGGCCACTCCTCTACTCTCAAAGGGCTACACGCCCCCTCCCGCAGCCCTCAGGGCGAGGGGTGGGGCCTCTTCTCCTCCCCGGCCGCCCTCCTCCCCCTCTGCTGCACCCAAATACTGACATCTCGGCTCTTCCCCTCTTGCCCGGAGACCGGCACAGAACAGGCTATTCCAGCTCTGGCTCCCCACCATACTGAGGGGACTGGGGGGTTACACCCCAATCTACTTGGGCTCTGATGTCAGTTTTTCCACCCCATGCTTATAGCTGCTCCAGTGGGGCCCCTCAGGCCCAGCACTGCTTAGGCGGACTGACTTCCCCAGAGAGGAGCCAGCTTGAGCGCACCCGCCCAGCCCCAGCCACCCTCCCTGCTGCTCACCACCCCACAAATGCTCAGCTTTCTTCAGTTCCCGGAACTTGGGGGCACTGGGGCTTTCAGAGGCACCCTGGTGGTGCACTGGTGAAGTGCTCGGCTGCTAACTGAAGGGCTGGAAGCCTCCAGCCACTCCACGGGAGAAAGATGGCAGCCTGGGAACCCTCTGGGGCGAGTTGCACTCTGTCCTCTAGGGGCGCTGGGGGTCGTTACTGACTCCAGGCAACTGGTTGGGACCGGGTTTGGGGCCTTTCACCTTTTCTATGTCCTCTCACACCTTGCTCCCTCCTGGCCCGGATTTGGGGTATCTCACCTCCCTTCACTCTGCCACAGGCTGCCTCCCGCTGGGGCCTTGACCTCATCTCGAATAAGCCATAGTGGGGAAGGTCTCCCGCGACGAGGGAGCGCGGTAGGTCCCGCTCGCTCCCCCCTCGATGCCTCCAGAGTTGGGGCCCCGCTATCTGAGTCTCCCCTCCGCCCCTCAACACACACACAAACATGCGTGTGCACACGTGCCCAAACACGCATGTGCACATGGGGACCCTCTGGGCTGTTCTCGTGAGGGGCAGGGGCGTGCAGGGGAGAAGCGGTCCTGGACCAAAAGACCCTCACAGCTTCCACCTCCTTCCTGCTCCCTCCCCTCCCCAAAGCTGGCCCCTCCCCCCACGCACCACCCCCACCCCCCACCCCCACCCCGTGAGGCAAGGACCAGGCCAAGGAGCTCTAACTTTTTTTTTTTCTGAATAAACAGATGTTTTCCTGATTTCTCCAGAACAGGCTGTTCCTGCTTGCTCGTGGGTCACTGTGTGTCCTGGGGGGTCAAGGGCGGGGCTGCCGTTGGTGGTGGGCTGTGCTGGGCACCTGCGTGGCAT